CATTTTGGTGGCTCGTTCACCCAGAGCATCCGGAGCTCTGTACCGTGGAGCCTAGCAACCTCCACGAGACCGTCTGTGTTGTCTGTCTGTAACTGCAACTCAAGCAAGTTTTCCAGCCTACACCACTGCCATCTCGGTGTAAGTAAACAATCTTTAAAACTACCGATATGCGTTTGTGCCTAATTCCAGCTCAACGGCCTCCCCTCTCCGACCCGGCGTGCCCGGGCTGCTGGCCGCAGCCCGCGTGCAGCACGGAAAAGGGCTCGGGTCGCTCCCGGCCTGCACAGAAGGGTAAACTCTGGGCTTACCCAGGGTAGGGAGAGAAGGGGAGGGTAGTTTGTCATCAGAATGATTCGGTCTTCTGTTAATTTTGCCTGACAGAAAAGTCCAAAAGGGGCTTTTAAAGCCACTATAACTTAGAACAGGTGTTGTCAACTGGGAGTATGCGTACCCCGGGGCTACTTGGGAAGGCCCTAGGGGGTGCATGCGGGCAGGCGGGGAAAGAGAGCCATCACTCACCACACCGCGCCACCGCCTCCCAGGAGCAGGGCCGGCCAGAGGGGTGGTGGTGGCAGCGGTGCTCTTCTGCAGGCTGCACAGGCATTGACCGGCCAGATGGACACCAGGGCAGGGAAGCTCATATGCGGCAGACACCGCTGCCGCCACTCCGCATTTGGCTGCACACCACCCCCCCACCACGTCCAGCTGCATGCCACCCCCCACTCCTCTACTCCCGTGTCTGGCTGCCAGGGGTACACTTATTAAAAAAGGTTGAAAACCCCTGACTTAGAATATACACTGATGTGCTACAGCTTATGCTAAGGGCCAGTTCCAATTTCAAAAGTAGCAAAAGTGGTTTATAACAGCGTTCCTCAACCTGTGGGTTGTGACCCAAAAGGAATATATGAAAGGGTCACAAACAAACTTTAAAAATGGATTTGCCTTTAAAGGAAAAAAATGTGGGAAACCATGAGTTTCCCTTTGCAGGCTGGCAGCATTCCATCCTGCAAGGGGCTGCTTGTGGTTGGGAGGAGTGGGAGGAGGACGATCAGGCAGGGGACACCACATCCATGTGTGTGCGCATACATCCATGTAGTAGCCAGGCAGTATGGAGAGCAACTTCTTCAGCTCCCTGCAGGTACATCTATGGGGGGTAGGGGGAAGGACGTAGGTGATGCATCGGGGGGCACAGGCAATATTAGAGGGGTATCACATGCCTCCCCAGATTTGTGTGTCCACAGCAGGCATGAGGCTGCCACCTGGTTAGACCAGCATGACCAAGAGTTGCCTTTGCAGCCCGGCAGGCAGGACCCAGAGTGGGAGGGCAGACCAGGGCAGTGACACTCTGCTGCCACCACCACTGGGATCCCTGCAGCAGCTGCAGCACCAGCAACATGAAAGTAACAGGTGTGGGGGAGGCCTGCACTGCCCTCACCTCCTCCTGCCACCAGCCACTCTCCTTCTACTCTACGGTCATGGTCCAGCAACCACTGCTGATCCCCTCAGGCCACAGCTCTACCTTACAGGTGATATGGGGCAGCAGGCAGTGCAGGCGGCTTGAGTTGACCAGTGGCAGCGGCAGTGGCTGGGCCGTGGCGGTGGGGTAGAGTCACAAACCAGCGTGCAAGTGGCTGATGGTGGGAGGAGGCGAGGGCAGCACAGACCCCCGTCCATTACTCCTGGCGGCGGAGCTGACTTAGGGGTCCCAGCAGTAGTGGCAGCAATGAGTCTCACCAGCCCACTTTACTCTCCTGTGCTGCGTGCTGCCTGCTCAGCTGTGAATGTGGCTCCTGTCTGGCCAGCCTGCAGCCCCATGCCCACTGTGGGTGCACAAATCTGGGGGGGCATATATTCCCCCATGCCCCACACACACCACCCCAACCCCACACACCCACCCTTTGCCCCACACACTGGACTCACTGGTGACTCAGGAGTGAGGGACACCAGCAGGGCTGGGGAGGTTGGGGGAGGGGGCTGTGCTTTGGGAGTGCGGGGCACCAGCAGGGCCAGGGGGCTGTTTTCTCCTTAAACGATTTACTGGGTCAGGACTAGCCATTGATGTTTACAAATGGGTTCTGGTACAAAAACGGTTGAGGACCACTGGTTTATAATACATCTTTTCCACATCCTACCGCAGGCTGAATCTTCAGAGTGGTACAGTTTAGAACTCGGATCCCTGCCTTTTGTGCAGCACTTAAATGTTATGGCACTAGGAACTGAAAAATCCAGTAGCTAGTACATTTTAGTATCTAATGCCTTCTTCATGTTGGCAGGCAAGGT